ATGAAAATACAAATTCATACAACTCTATAATCACTTCTACAGGAATAAGTAGAGATGACTGCTACTTTCCTTTAATCCGCCTCAAAAATCAGCAAGCTCGACGCTGTGTATTCTTCCCTGCTGTCTTTTCCCTTGGGAAGAATACCAGTGCCCTCTAGTGTCCAAAACGCACTTTGCGTCGTGCCCTTCATATCAGTTTATCTTCCAAGAGTAATTGTAATAACCCAATGCTAGAGATCATTTTAAAAATAAATTTGGGGGCGTTGAATCCTGGGCAGCAATATACAAGCACGCTATCATCCTACAAATCACAATCTAAAATACCCCTCCCTCCCCGCCCCCGCCATATTTTCAAGAGTAAGGAATACACAAAAAATAATTCCCCACAGGAGACAGAATTTCTTTTAAAGCCACTGTTTTCTAAGGCTTCACAGCTTTAGTCCAGCTTCACTGGAACCCAGATAATAATCCCCTCATTATCCTTACCTAATGCAAATGACAACTGGGTTTATTTACGGTATGTAGTAATAGTCGGAATTACAGGTACAGACGCTCTAAAGACCTGGTCACCACCTGCGTGGTGGCAGGAATTGTTTACTGTGGTATGCCTGCTTGTGTAGATGACAACCTCCTGGAAATTAATAAAATAAACCTTCACTAAATTGGAGTCAGGCAGGCCTGTAGGGGGAACTCTCAAGCCCTATCATCGCTTGCACCTCGGACAGGAAGCACAACTACTTTACTCCTGAAGGAAGAGTTCTCTCCTCACCTGGGCAACAGCCCAACCAATCAGAAACGCTGCAGCTCAGCCAATAAGAAATGCCATGGCTCAGCCAATCAGAAACGCTGAAGCTCAGCCAATGAGAAACACCATAGCTCAGCCAATGAGAAACGCTGCAGCTCAGCCAATGAGAAGCCATTGCCACCCTGAACTGTCACTTTCCCCCAATGGACTTTCCTTTAGAACAGCCCCTCCTTCTCCCCCTTCTTCCCTATAAAAGCAGCTCCCCTTCCTTGTTGGTTGGATTTGCCTGTGGTTCACCACAGCATGCATATCCCAAGTTGCAATTCTTTTGGCTATTCCCAAGTAAACTCGTTTCAAGGGTAAATTAACAGGTGAATTTGCCTTTTAAGTTGACACCCCGTTGCGACCTAGCTGCCCCCAGACACCCCACCGCGCCCCACGGTGGCGGCAGCGCCCTTCCTTCTGCCCCAGGCGCGACCGGGCTCCGGCTCGTCCAGGGCGCGGACAAGGGGATGGACCTGGAAACCCTCTTCCTGACGGCCGGGCCCTAGGTCGCTGCAAAGCCCGGCGCACCCACCGGCGTTGGTCTCGGCCCACCCCCGGAGCCCGGGGAGCGGGCCCGAGTCTAGCGGGCGCTGCAGCCCCTTCCCCGTCGCGAGCGCAGGGAAGACTAACCCACGGTTTCGCCCCAGCGGTCGGGGACCCGTCCCTGACCTCTGGCCCCGCCCACCTTGGAGAGGCCGGCGCGCGGGATTGGCGGCGTGGCCGGCGCGCGGGATTGGTGGCGTGGCGGGGGCCGGGCTGGGAGGTGGGCTGAGGGGC